TCTTCTTCAATCCTTGGCACAAAAAAAAATGTTATGCAAATTTATTTAGGAAGAAAGAAAAAGGTCAGAACATTAATTTCAGAAAGTTATACAGTAAATGGACTGGAGGGGCAGATAGATTTGAAATAAGGTTTTGAAATTAATTACAAGAATCCTTTCTGTGAGCTGTTTAAAATTCTATAAAAATATGTGAAAATTTTGAAATTAAGGGTAAGCATCCTCCCATGAAAAATGCTGTTCATTAAAAAAAAAAAAAGCATGGCAAGAAGGAATTTTAAAAGTTGGACATTAGAGAAACCAGAAAGATTATAACTAAAAGAGAAGAGACCTATTAGTATAGAGTGGATCAATATATTCTAACTTTGGAAGAATCCAATGTTAATTGGGAATAATTAAGTCAGACGTTAAAGATTGACACTATCATAAAAATGGATTTAAGAGGTGATAGAAGAGGATAAGTTTGAGACTGAGGCTGTTTTGAATGTGGATTTAAAATTGACAGTTACAAGAATGATATGGAAAAAGATGTTACACTGAATTTACAAATGAAACCAGCTGATGTTTTGATAATTAGAAGGGATATATAAATAACAAACCGGAGGAGTGACTTGGATAACTTTTAGATTTACAAGAGAGACATGTTAAACTTATGAAGGAGTTTCTGAGAAGTGACAAAGAAAAAATGAAATCAATTTTTGGTACAATATTTAAAGGAATTTAAAAAATTCTTAAAAGAAAAGGGAAGAAATATAAAGTTGGTTTATTTAAAGTTAAAATATCAGTGTTGCTGTTTCTGGTAATTCTTAAAGGATTTTTGCTGATTGAGACTGAATGGTGAGACTACAAAGAGATGTGATATGGGAAGTAGAGATGATTTTGTAGTTATCAGAGAAGGTGATAAGTTACTGGAATAGTTTGTACTTGTCTTGATGAAGGAAGAAGCCATTTCTTTATATATCATTTTTTTTTACTGTTTTCTTTTTACATTTTTTTCACATTCTGTACTTTTATATTTTCTTAGTGTGTGTTGGTTTTTATCTTTGTATCTGGTAAACTCATTAAAAATTCTTACATTAAAAATGTAAGCTGTACAATAGCTCATTTATGCCGCAATTCCAATTTAGTGAGTGCTGTATGCATCTACAGATAGTTCTTGTGTTCCAACTATAATGGAGCCTGTCCATTGCAGTTGTAACTCGTGACAGTCATAAAATGGGTTTGTCATATGTCCTGTTTTATTATCTTTATTGTGGCAGTCATTAAGTGAATCACCACTGTCTCTAAGCGAACACCGCACTCATTAAGCAAACCAATGATTGGCTATGGGCATAGTTTTGCCAAAATTCAGAAGTAAATACCGATCTTGGCAAGCTGTTATAAAACATGATCACACGATTGCAGGACCCTATAAACAGCCATAAAAGTGGGCCAGTTACCAAGTGCCCCCAGTATAGTCACACATAACCATGGGGGCCCTGATTGTTGGAATTTCAAAGCTGGTCATAAGTAGATCCACTGGAACATCAAATGTTTGCTAAGTGACTGGTCTTAAGTCAACGACTGTCTATATTAAGACAGTTGAAACAGATTTGCTTTTATTAACTCTAAACAATAATCTCTAGAGAGCCATAGCTATCTTTGAAACATATTCCTTTGAAAGCATGGATTCTGCAGATTTTCTTTGTAGTTTGAAATGTATAAAAAGGAACTGAACGAGTCAAAAATGTAAACAGAGAAAGAGTAGCATAACTATAAAATTATCAGTAAAGGAAGAGCCTTTTCGGTTGTGGTTGTTAGGATCTTCCTTTTATAAGAAACAGCCATCCAGTTTAATTGCTTATGGATTTAGGAAATAACTTAAGCTTAATGCTTTACAAATACTTTTGGAAAAGTTACAGGTATGCATATATTTGCTTGGGAGAAAGTTATAAATATTGTTTATTGTTAAAAAAAGAGCTATTGGTAAGCAGAAAACATCCATATGCATTTTCCTTTCTGTTGCAGGGATAGCTCACCTTAAAGTCTATGCAATTCTTCAGAGGCTGATTATTATGTATTCCATGCTGCCATTGCACATCTTTTCTGTCAGATTTCTCTGAGTATGAAGTACTACAGTGCACTTGGACCCAGATTCCATTTTCACATTGAGAAATATCTAGCATGTTTTGGGATCAGTTCTAGATTTAGAAAATGCTTTTGCATCTGCTTCATATTTAACTTTTGTAAAAATCTAGTAGGCAACGTTGCTATTGCTCATATTGCAATTATTCTGCCCATATTCTGGATCTCCACCTGTGGGCTGCAGGGGAAGATATTTGCACCACCAAGCATATATTTCATTTCATTTTACTTCATTTCAATTTATTTATTTATTTAGCAAATTTATATGGCCATCCAACTCACACAAAGATGACTCTGGGCAGATTACAACATTAAAAATCCACAATTTAAAAATCTAGCCACCCCACCCCACCCACAGCAGCACTTGATCGGCTACATCTCCATTTGTAATCCCCAGACCCTCGGAGAAAACCCTGTCGTCAGGCCCTTTTGGAAAGGCAACAAGGTAGGGGCCAATCATACTTCCAGAGAAGAGGAAAACTACTGAGAAGACCCTTTTTGTGGTCTCACCAGATGTCCATTCCCTAATAGATGGCATCCACAACATATCCTGCCTTCCCGTCTTGGTGGCCAAGGGGGATGAAACAGGGGAAGGCCATGTGAGCTTTAAAGGTGATAACCAAGAACCCTGAATTGTACCTGGAAGCAGACTGGCAGCCAGTACAACTCTAGCAAAAGAGGTGCACAAAATTGTTCAGGCTGCTGCATTCTGAACCAATTGAAACTTCTGGATATCTTCAAGGGCAGCCCCATGTAAACACATTATGGTAGTCACAGACATATCCAGAATTGTGGAATATTTCTCTTTTGAAGACTCTACAGCATGTTAAGTACCATAAAGCATTTTATTTGGTCTGGTTTGGTAGCTAGACAAGGATAGAAGATGAGGGAAAGGAAGTTTAGTGTGATTATTTTTGCTTCAGTGAATGTTTATTAAGTTATACAAGTTCTTCTAAAAGTTGCTTCTTTACATCTTAATAAAGTTTTGGGCCACAGATAATTTAGTTCAAATGATAAAATCCATCCAATATTTAACAGACATTTCTGCTGGTATGTAATATTACCCATTAAGAGATAATGGGCTTATTACTTTTCCGATTGAACTGTGTGTGTGTGTGTAATTAATTTTTTTCTCATTAATCTACACTTAGTACTCCATAATGACAAAATGAAAACAGAATTTTAGAATGTCTGTAAATGTATTAAAAAGAAAAAAAACTGAAATATCACATTGGCATAAGTATTCCCATTTCCACACAGGATCTCTGGAACTCAGAGTGACCATTGGATTCTTGGTCACCCTTCTCCCCCTATTGCTCAGATTCACCAGTCGACCAGCTGTTGAAAGAGTTTTGGTTAAGCCAAACTTCTTCCATTTGAGAATTATGGAGGCCACTTGCTCTTAGGAAACTTCAGTGCAGCAGAAATTTTATTGTAGCCTTCCCCAGATCTGTGCCTTGCAATAATCCTGTCTCTGAACTCAGCAGTTCCGTTGACATCATGGCTTTTGCTCTGTTACAATATACATAGTCAGCTTTGAGGTTTTCTATAGAGAGGTGTGTGCCTTTCCAAATCATGTCCAATCCATTTACCAGAGGTAGATTCCAATCAAAGTGTAGAAACATGTCAGCAACAATCAAGAGAAATGGGAGGCACCTGAGCTAACTTTCAAGTGTTGTTGCAAAGGATCTGAATACTTATGCCAACGTGATATTTCAGTTTTTTCTTTTTAATATATTTGCTGATATTTCTAAACTTCTGTTTTCACTTTGTCATTATGGGGTACTGAATTACCCCATTAATGAGAAAAAAAAATTCAACAACTGTAGAATCAGGCTGCAGCATAACAAAATTGACACAAGTGAAGGGGATCTGAATACTTTCTGAATGCACTGTACATACACACACACACACACACACACACACAATTCCATGCCATTGAAAGCTGGCAGCAAATGCAAACACCCCAAAATCTAGCCTCCTCCATTACAAAAATAAGTTCTGCTATAAGTTGTTCTGGGCTGTCCACATTTATTTTAGCATACAAAAGTTAACTGTAAAGTGGGGGGGGGGGTTTCAGCCATATTTTTGTGTCCTCTAAATATTGACAGTGTGATTTGTGAAATTCCTCATGATTACACAAAACAGAACTGCACACATTGCATTTTATATACAGCTATGCAAATAATATGCCCAGATATCAATGGCCACTGGAGGACAAGCATTATCTTGCTTCTATCCTACATATATCTTTCTGATCCATTCATTTGAAATGAATATTTAGAATATAAACTATTTTTTCATTTTCTAAAAAACTGAGCAAACTTCTCAAAAGAGAACTAGATGGCTACCCTGCTGTATTGCCCCACTGAGTCATTTTAAGAAAAGACAGTATCAAAAGTTTCAGAAGAGAGTTATAAAATGAACTGTTTATTTCTTATGTAGACTTCCACTGATTTTATAGATGTAATCCAAGTTCAGAATAAAATAGGAAGGAAAAAAAGCAACTGAACAGCATATCATGCTATCCAGTACCATATACATACTTCAATTATTTAATTTCATTATCTCCAAACTATATGTAGTTTCTTTCCATCTTGAAATATACTGGTGTAAATGTTATTTAAAAGCAGAGATCTTTGTGCAGAACTGACATGAATCCAAGAATTAAGAATCCTGACCAGTATGGAATCCTCATTCTCCGAACCTTCTGAAATACTGGAAATTCACTGAAGCTATTCCTTATTAATGACTATAGGCAGAACATAGTCATCAATGGGCAGCAGTTGTCATTATTATGTATTATTTCTAATATGAAAAGCAGCATGAACCTGAATACCAGTTGCTGGACAGCAGCAATGTCGGGTTATGATTCTTACATCCTACTTGCAAGGCTTCCCAGGGACAGCTGCTTGGCTACCACAGGAAACAGGATGCCACTTTAGGGAGGACTTTGGTCTGATCCAGCAGGTCAGTCATGTTCTTAAGTATACACTTTACATTTCGATAAATGTCATAATTCCTGATTTTAGCTTCATGGTATGCTGCATATGTCCACTGCATACAAAAATAATGTACATATGCAATAAGTTAGTCTAATGTTTTCTTTAGAATGTCATAATTGTCTGCTCTTCACCTCTAAATCTCAGTGAAAAACTGTCATAAATATTGCTTTCTTACTTATAGATTTTAGAAAAAGCATGGTTTTCAATTTTCTTAACACCTTCATTGACTTGAGATTAGATCCTTATAATTGCAAACAAGGAATATATATAACATCAGTACAACTTACTTTTAAGGACATATGCAAATATTATTTCATTTGTTTAACCTGACACTCTTTCCATTCCTTGCCAATACAAGCAGTTTCCCAAAATGACCCTACAATCTCACTACCATATACTAAAAACAATTCTTTCATACACAGAATATCTTTACTATAAGCACTAAAATCCAGCTTTTGCTTCTCAAATATTTTAAATCTGAATATGATTTCATAAATCTATCTTCTATTATTTTAGATAACTAAATACATGCAATTTCAAAACCAACCATTAGCATTCAGTAAATTAGAATGGAACGATTAAAAAAGAAAAACAAGATAGTATATGGACTAAAAATGTCAGAATGTTATAATTTATCTACTACATGCAGCTTGTAGTAATGCATTTTTCTAAATAGCCTGTATAGAGATCAATTAAAAAGTCAAAGTCATTCACATTATAGCATTCAGTAGCATAGGCTAGAGCAGAGTCTGCTTCTCTCCACAGACATGCCTAAAGCATACAGTACTACTGGTGCAGTCCTGATCTCAGAGACATGTTTAATCATCGAGTTCAATAACTGGGAGAATTGGGCTTAAAAAATATTACATTTATCCATAAAATTTGTAACACGCATCCTTTTTTCACAATCTTTGATCAAAATGCAGAACATTCAGTCCTTACTAGCTTGAGGGTTATTCCTCCCATTGCCATCACATATAAACCACCAACGTCCTACAATCCATATATAATTTTCTAGCAGAACATGATAAAGAACAAAGCTTTTCAAAATACATTTAAATGAATGAAAGGACAGCAATCCATGCTATTGACAATAACATCTGAATATTTCAGCAACATCTTAGTAAAACACTATGTAGACATGACTAGACTGACAAATGCAACTATGATTTTCTTAAATTGTTCATCTTTTTCTAATATACATTTTACTAACTGATCTGTTACCAACTTCCCTTCCTCATTTAAAACAGACAAACAAATAAAAAGCATTACGATCAGCTTTAAGAATCAGTAAGATTTATCTGCAGAGGCATGACTCAGTATAAACTTTTAATCAAATTCTTCACGGCACTATAAAACGATGTAATCGTGTATAATTCAAGCTTTTCTACTTCTTAAAATAGAGGCACGTTTAAAGTACTACTGTGGTGACAACAGCAAAACAATTTGTAACCCAACGCCCCCGTAATACCTTCATGTTGTATCCTTTAACTGCTCCTTCTTCTGTACTTGCTATAAAGCTACCCCTATAAAAAAAAAAACCACAATAAAGAAATCTCCATTGCATTTCATTCATTCCACATCTTTTACAAGTGTCCTCCCTCTTCAGTTGCACCTGCAACAGTCTTTATCCTGCATGACTACTACTGATAGAAATTCAAAATGCAGCTGTCTGAGCATCCTTCAATGACTGCAAAGTGATCAAGCAAAACAAGTATTTGGAAAGATACAAAGTTGGTACCTACAATGAGAGTTTGCCACAAGTAAATTAAAAGCAGCAGTCCCCCCCCACCCATTTTTTTTCAAGGCAGACGCTTCCCCTTTGAAATCCTTCCAGTCCGCCCACATCGACTGCATATGGGGGGAGCCAGAAATTAGGAGAGCGTTCTGCATTCACACACATCAAATGCATGCAGGCAGACACCTTTACAGTGCAGCAGCGGCCCAAGAAAAAACCGGCATGCTTTCTTCCCCGCCGGCAGCACCACGTCCTGCTGATACGATCCTGAAACGTTACGAGAGGTTTCGGCCTCGCAACAGCTTCAAGAAAAAAGGCACACCACGTCTCTTAAAGCAGCCAGACACACCACCTCTCTCTTCTTCCAAAGCGATAGTGGAAGGAGGGGGAGGAGGGAGAGGAGCAACAATAGCAGCAACAGCTTGAAGGGTGATGAATATGCGAGCAAAGCAGCCAGTAGTGATTCTTGGCGGCAGCAGCAGCAGAACGAATCTACCTCGGAAAAGCAGTTTTGAGGGCGCATGGAGGCTGAATACGAATGCCTCCGGGCAGCAGCACCAATATACTCCTCGCATAGTCCCTAAGCAACAGCCTTCTTTCCGGGCGGCTGCCTTAATTGGAAAAAGAGGCAAGAGAGAAGCAACAGCTCGGGGGAGATGGAGATGCAGCCCCTACCCAGTTCTAGGCAAGCCCCCACCTCTCGAGACACGCGCTTAACTGAGACGGCGGACCTCTCCCGCCTTTCCCTCCGACTAGCAGCGGGGACCTTCTGACCGCGGCGTCTGCCCGTTCCCCAGCAGATCCACGGTTCGGGTAGCTGCCCCCGTGGGCTCTCCAAAGGGGACCTCCGGCCGTTGCGTCCTCCCTTCCTCACGCACACGACGGCTTCCCTCCCAGCAAGCTCCCGCCCGACTTAGCAAGGCAGTAGAAACGGGTGAGACCAACCGCTCTGCCTCGGCTTTGGGAAACGCTCCCTCCCCACCAGCTCCGGATTCCGCCTCTGCCTGGGGGCGAGCAACGGCCAGCCACCTTCTCCCTTCTTCCCCTACTTACTCTGCGCCTGAGGAAAAGAAGGGGGGGAAAGAACCGCGGCCGCCAGCACTACCGACCACTGCTGTTCTTGCAGCAGTTCAGCCAAACGTAGTCTGCCTTGCCCCGGCTGGAAAGTCCCTGGTGCGCTGCCCCGGCTGGTTCTCTTTCCCCCCGCCCGGCACTTCCTCTCCCGCCCTCGAGCCCAGTCTGGAAATCCCCGCCGCGTCGCGTTCCCTTCTTTGCTCGCACTCGCTCGCTCCCTCGCGCGCTGCCGGGCTCTTTCTACAACCAGCACACCACCCAAGCGCGTCTCCAGACTGGCTCCTCGGCACTGGCGAGGCGGGTGAACGAGGGACGGGCCTCCGCGGAGCTCAGTCCCCGCCCCGCTCATTCGCCAGCCGCGGGCTGGTTGGCTCTCTTGCCTGGCCAAACGGAAAAGAGGGGGAAAAGGGAGGGCGCTATTTCCGCACACATTTCATTCAGGAGGAAAAGGAATGATCAACCCCAGCTGTATTTCCGAGGAAGAAGTGACATAGATGGCGCTCTTTCATTCGTGCGTAATTGGGGTTTCATTTATATGGGGAGTCCCCCTGGAATTCTAGCGCTTGTTTATGTTTTGAAATGATAATAAAGTCTCTCTTTCTGAGCATGGGCCACTTCTCAGCCGGTATCTGTGCAAGCACTGACTTCCCTCGTAAAGTTCATAGGGAATTAAAACTTGATTTCCCACAGTTGGTGAGGAAGGAAAGAGCAATTCTGAGCAGGCATTTGCTTAAATCGTTTTTTTACATGTCGCTCTTTTCCTTTGTATAAGGATCCTTTATGATTTGCACATTATGATAGCATTCATAATTATTTTGTAAAGGTAAGTTTTATAATAATAATACTAATAATACTAATACTACCACTACTACTAATACTACTACTACTAATAATAATAATAGTAAAGTTGGAAGGGACCTTGGAGGTCCAACCTGCTGCTCAGACTGGAAACCCTATAACATTTCATACAAATAGCTGTCCAGTCTCTTAAGAACTTCCAGTGTTGGAGCATTCACCGCCTCTGGAGGCAGGTTGTTCCACTGGTTAATTGTTCTAACTGTCAGGAAGTTTCTCCTTAGTTCTAGGTTGCTTCTCTCCTTGATTAGTTTCCATCCGTTGCTTCTTGTCCTGCCTTCAGGCGCCTTGGAAAATAGCTTCACTCCCTCTTCTTTGTGGCAGCCCCTGAGATACTGGAACACTATCATGTCCCCCCTCGCCCTTCTCTTCATTAAACTAGATATACCCAATTCCAGCAGCCGTTCTTTATATACTTTAGCCTCCAGTCCCCTAATCATCTTTGTTGCTCTTCTCTATACTCTTTCTAGAGTCTCAACATCTTTTTTATATCAAGGAGACCACAAATTCTTGGCAGAGCCTTGATGTTCTCACCTGCCGGGAAAGTACAATGGCATTCCAATTTTGTGAGCTAAATTCTGCTGTAGAAGATAAGTACCCCCTCCATTTCACTGGTGCTGAAATGTATCTGACAGTTTTAAAATAGAATAATTCATTAACAGCATTTTAATGCAAGTTACAAATTAAGAGTTTCCACAAATATTTAATGCTTTTTTTAAAAAAAAGTCATAAAGGCATTCTCAACACCAAACTTCAAAAGCATCAATACTCTTCCTATTCTGCTTCTTTAAAGCCCAATTTTCAGTTCCATATCATAGGGAACATCATGGCTTGCACAACTCTGATCTTTTTACATGTACAGACTTTGGGCAGTTCACAATATTAAAAAAAAATATATACCATTGGAATAAAAGCATGAAACAAGATGGTCACCCCACCTCATTTGGTGTTTGTAATTATGAGGTACAGTATTTCTAAAATGAAATACACAGGGAAATGGGTAAACAAAATAAAAAGCCTGGCTCCCTATAAATCTTCTCTTAACGTGCCTTCCAGATGTGTTGGGATGGCATGGGCACGCTGGCCTAGAATTCGGTGAGTGCATCAGATTGGGGAAGGATGCTTTGGGCACAACCAAACAGCTATCTCTGCTACAAAAAAACACACTTCTCATGTAAAGAGGTTTTCAGTCAGCCTTGTGTGAAATCACTAGGGAAGCAGGGAATGAAGAAGGAAAAGAAACAACATGACAAGTGAAAATGAAGGGAAATCAAGAGGCCAAATAACCAATTCAAGAAAATAAGCTCATTTCATTCCAAGGTCAAGGGTCAAAACAATGTGAAGAATAAGAATAAATAACATGTAAAACACAACTTCAGATGACAAGAAAACATTCAGAACCCAAGATTTATGGGAGCTATCAAAACCCAGCCAACAGAGGCAACATACATGTATTTCCTGTTCACTCTTAGCAAATATTATGTATTTGCCATCATAACCTAATTCATAGAAAAACTGTTTTTATCCTAAGTTATTCTAGTAGTGCAAAGCTGACAAATATTTAGAAAATGTCATTTGCACGTTTTGGGTGATTTTTAGAGATCAGAGAAATAGCATTAAACTGATAAGTTTGAAATCATCAACACATTAAGTCTACTTTATGGTTGTAGTTCTTTATTTTGAAATGTCTGTAAAGAAAAAATAAGGACTTAAATCATTTTGAAGATATGCTCAGATTTAGGCTTTGACAAGCCCTTCCTCCAGCTGAAAAAGCAAGCAAATAACTGAATCCTAGTTTATCCCGTTGAGGAGTTCTCTGTTCTTACCAGATCTTTGCCACAAGATTTGGTACAACTGAGATGCTTATCCAACACGATCTATGTTGATCATACAATTGAGCATGTTGTTAGAGACTGGCAGCCATGGCAAAGCCTATCAGGAAGAATGAACCTCTCAAGTGAATTAGAGCCACTTCCACAACACCAGCGTTTCCATCCCTTTAATCCCTCATAAAGCAGTGTGATTCCAAGTCCAACCAATAAATGTTATTACTTCTACCAGTCTCAAAGCACTGAAAAACCTCATTGTCCTGGCAGATTTTCAAGTGGATACTTTTCCTTACAGCTGTGACCATGGTTACCTTTGCTGGACTAGGGAAAAGTAGAAATATTAAATTAAACATACAGGAAAAGTCAAGCTCGGAGAACAGGATGCTGAACTTAAAAGGGGGGAAATCATAGAATCATAGGGCTAGAAGGGACTTTGGAGGCCTCGTTTAACATAATTCAATTTAACTAATAACTAGTATAAAACCCCAGTAAGACCACTGGAATACTGCAGCCAATTTTGGTCACCATATCACAAAAAACGATGTTGAAAGTTTGGAAAAAAATCAGAGAAGAGCAACTAAGATGATCCAAGGCCTGGAGACTAAAACATACGAAGAACGGCTGCGGGACTTGGGTTTGGCTAGTCTAAAGAAAAGAAGAAATAGGGGTGACATGATAGCAGTATTCCAGTATCTGGGGCTGCCACAAGGAAGAGGGGGTCACGTTGTTTACCAAAGCACCAGAGGGAAGGATGAGAAACAATGTTGGAAACTGATCAAACAGAAAAGCAACCTGGAATTAAGGAGAAACTTCCTGACAGTGAGGACAATCAACCAGTGGAACAGCTTGCCTCCAGAAATCGTGCGTGCTCCATCACTGGAGATTTTTAAGAAGAGACTAGACAATCAGCTGTCTGAGATGGTATAGGTTCTCCTGCTTGAGCAGGGGGCTGGACTAGAAGACCTCCAAGGTCCCTTCCAGCTCTATTCTATTCTACTTTAAGTGCTAGAAAGCAGGTGAGGTAAGGATTTCAGCCAATGAGAAAATTAACCACTTGCGAGATTTACATAGCTACAGCAATTCTAAGTAAAATATTAGTTTTGTAATGATTCCAAAGAATTTGGATTAGACTCAGAACAGAACGATTTTCATCTAAAAATAAATGATAGCATGAAATCAATCTGGTTTGGAGCTGATACCAAAATGATTGCAAACAGTTATTTAAAAATGCTTTAGGATTCAAACATGAGTGAGTGTGCAGGGTTTTTTGGGGGGGAGGGGGGAGAATAATAGGTTATTTATTTATGGTGTCTTCTGGTCAATCTTAAATCCTAGTCACTGCCTGTACAACTCCCAGGAGTGTTCTGGCAACATTTTAGGAAGTCGTTTGCCACTGCCGCCTTCTTTCTAAGGCTGAGAGAGAGTGACTGATCCAAATTCACCCAGTTGATTTCATATCTAAGGTAGCATTAGTCTCCCAATTTTTAGCCTGGCAACTTTAACCACTGTACCAAAGTGGTTATCAGGATTCAGTTACAAATTCGCATTCCGTAGAGAGCTGCCAAAGCCTATTTTTATTTTAAATGCCTAAATTCTGCTTCTTGCTGTTGTCTCAGCATGACAAGCTATCTATATGAAGGAGCTTTAATATGGTTTAAGTGATGCTACTGGCTGCTGTTTTTCTGATATCTGAAGTCCACTCAGTCAAGACTTACATTTTTCCAGTTGTTTCCTACAAAGAGTGAAAATTAAGCTTGATATCTCTATGTCACTTACAGCTTCTCATCTCTTATTGTCAGTGGTGTCTAATGGCCAAGAAACAATCTATCCATTGTCCTTCTCACTACTAAAAAAGAGTCAGTCACAACTATTTTGCCTAAATTTGCTAATGTCCTTGTAAATTTCACAATTCACAAAAGTTTCTAGAATCTTTATATAGCAATAGCCAAGACTGAAGAATTCACCAGAAAAATGATAGTAAGTAATATGAATATTATATATTACTATAAATGTGATTCTGTAAATTATTAACATCATTTAATATACAATATTGATCATGCTGAAGACCATATTTGTTCAAGTGGTATAAAACACAGTTATGGTAAGATTATAAAATATAGAAGTAGTTCATCCCTTCGATGAAAATTGAAGGAAAAAAGTGGTGTGGGAATGGAAAGGACAAAGATACATTACAAATTTTTATGAGGCCAAAATAATTTCCTAGAGGGAAAAATGGACTGCTGGGTGATTTTAAAATTATTTGAGACAAATATAACAGCTGAGCATAAATCCAAACTTGGCTCAGCTAAACGACAGAATAGGTCAGCAAGAAGCTAGAAAATTAAATACTAGCCTATTTTAGCCGAGTGAAATGCTAATAGTAATAATACTATAATATTAAATTATAATAATATTGTACTATGTTAATATTTATTGTAAAATGTTATTCCAAACCTTGTTTACTAAATCTATTGATTTTTCCCAATGGAAAGTGCCATCAAGTATAAACA